TTATGATAAACAAATCCATAGAATGTTGTACAAACACTTTAATCTACTTAATACCGCTTAATAGTTAATATCTGACCCCGGCATGGGGTCAAATAGAGATGTTCATACACCTTCTATATGATTTACTTCGTAAAATTAAAGACAAAATGCAAAATTACGCGAAGAACTATTAAATCCTCAAGTCGCTAAATTCAAAACCTATCCTTTAGTTGGGCTCGTGGAAGTCTTCCGTGATTTTTCGGAAGCAAACAGGCAATAATGTGGACCATTAATTTGTAGCAAAACAGGTAGTTTTTAGGCTCTGTGAAGTTTGCCCAGCTCAAACAGATTAACCAACAGCTGACGCTCGCGTACAAGACGTACTGACGGTAAACATTCCGCTCCCATTAGGACGAGTTCGCTGTTTGTTTCAATATGATTTTGTTATGTATACGGGTCACAAGGCTCTTGACAGTTAAGGAGTCTTTAATTTGAATCTATCAAAAGCAGCAGACATGCGAATTTTGCAACAAAGAGCAGAAAGAAACTATAAAACGCATTCGTAATAGAGAAGCTTAATGATTCTTATAAAAACTATGCTAAAATGCAATAATGATTGTTGTGGCTGTTAAAATATTTAGTTATATTCACTCAGTTGATCTTAAACACAGGTTCCAATTGATAATAGATGATCAGCTGCTACCTACTCAGCTATCACAGCACCTATATATATATATATATATATATATATAAGATGGAGTCTGAAATTGTGAGTTAGCAAGACAGGAGGATTAAGCAGTAGTAATCTTATTTCAATGTACGTTACACTCAAGTATCTCCTCAAGTATCGGACGAATCCGCTGTTTGTCGCACTCATTTACGTACCTTTTTCACTTTTAATAAATGTAAAATAAAAGCCCCTCTAACTATCAAACATCTTTGAACTGTCAATTTTGAGCTATTTTTAAATTATCAACTGTGATCTTTAGACCGATTCGTACATGTATAGAGAGAATTACATTGGCACTGGTCGTTTACGGCTTTGTGAATACTTCTATCCAAGATTCTTCGCCGAAAATTGACAATCTATCTTCATTATTGTCAGTCATTGTGTGTGTTTCTCGATCTTCTGTGAGACCTTGTGGACACTCATAACAACTATGCAGGTTCGTTGATATGATCAATGTAACATACTCTGCTAGTAGCCAATGCTTTGTGCTGGAGCCGACGCTTCAGCAGTGCCCAAAAGGGTTGATTCGGAATATCGTGGCATACACAAGCACATAATTAAGAATCGTTTGACAACAAACGGTATTAAATGGGTTTTATTGAGAGAAATGCTTGAAACAATAATTACATAGGTGACATATACATCTGTAACAGCATTTAAATTTCGAGAAAATTTCTGAAACGCTACAATCACGCTGTCGAGCTTCCGACCAAGAATCAGCCCTGATCAGTGAAAAACTTTCTTTACGCTATGTTTAGGGGCTTTATGCAAACAACGATCGTATAGAATTTTTAAAAAAATATCAACTTCTGTAGTCAATAGAGTGTTGAATTATTTATTGGTTAAAAGTGATTTATCATTTTCCTTACGTTTATATATATATATATATAACAGATATACCAATTATCTGCTCGCGACGTTCAGTAACTGAAGCGAGTCATAACTTTAAGTATTTGAGTTAATCTGTCAATGTATCGAAAATTCTCCTTACAATTATGATGATCAAATAACATAATGTATTCGAAGGGAAGACAATCTTCTTGTACTTAACAGAGGATTTTGACATCTGATCATTTATCAAACATTGAAATTATCAGGTTCACTTTAAGATTAAAATAGACGCAACCAACACCTTAATGGCGGCAGTAGTTCAAGGTTCACTCAACGGATGAGATATATTCCGCAACCATTCATAACAACACAATATCTAAATACGATTTTTTGCTCGCTGTTAAAGGAAATCTACAGTAACGTATTGATGCGTCTTGCGAGACCATGAGAATTTCCTTCGATCATTTCAAGTTCAACAATGTGAGTAGCCCCAGCCAGCAATTCGGAACCCTTCAATCGGAACTTTAACAGTTGACACCAGCGCGCCAACAGTTTAATTACTCAATAAATCTTAGCATTTAGAAACTTTTGCCGTGCTTAATTTTCCATAAAAATGACAGTTAACGAAATCATTCTACATGCATGACCAGCTTCGAACATGCGATACAACTAAAACTGGCTTATACATAGTGTACAATATATGAACTGAAAGATATTAAGAGTGCGGATTCAGTTCCGTTGTAGGAGTGAATACACACGTTAGAGATGAGCTTGGACAATACGAGGTATAGCTAACGTGGCCTGATTAAAACATCTAGATGGATGTTGTTTTCATCTAAGTACATAGGTTGAGGAATATATTCGATGCCTATGATTTGATTCTACATGACTACTGGATTGATCAAAGTACTAAAGGCAACGAAATAAAAAATCCTCGTAAATAAATTCTGAGGTTGACAAAGCCTTCGCAAGAGTACGACTCAGGCAAAACAATGGTATGGATCGGTTCTAAAATTGTTAGGACTTTTACGTTGTCCAAAGGTCTTGATTTATGTAGTCTATTCTGTAATGGGTAATGCAGATGGCTAGATTTTTCTACGGCTTTTCTTGCACCCACATGGCAAGCTTGCAATTATAAAACAATCTACTGACTCATGTTTAACACCAAACAACACGCCCACGTGCTATCAGGTGACTTATCAAAATTAAAATTTGCCGTTTGATGAATCTGCTTCACATGGTCCTAAACTGTATTATTTATTAAATAAAATAGTTATTTTTCTAGGCATACTTGTCTGAATAGAAAATTGTCTTCGCACTTCTCAGAATCTCAGCAACGATATGTAATTATAAATTCCATTTATTCGAGGTTTTGGGGCTGCGAATTGAATGACAAAGCATTAGTAATTATAAACAGTTATTAAATATAGTTACGGAGGTTTGTGAATAAGGCGCTTAAGGATATTTCAAAGAACGGCTTACACTATCATACTTATTTTGTTTTTTTTTTTAATTTAAGGTCGGATATGTGTCATGATTTTGTCTGAGCCGTCTTTTTTTCAATTAGATGCTTGACTGTCCACGGAAATGCACAGAGAAATTAGGAATTATAAAGCGCATTAGTTCTTAAGCGTAATGCTCATTATGCATGATCTCATAAAATAAGGTGGCCCTGAAATAGGTCGTTGTTTTTGAGAAGGAATTTCTTAAGCTTAGGCCTTTTCGATCTTCTTGGCCAGAAGGACAACCTGGATATTAAGCAAGGCACCACTTTGAGCGGTGGTCACTTAATAGATGTTATTCTCAAAACTTTGTACTCCAAGTTCACGTAATGGTAAATATAATATAAAACATAAAGTTGGCTGAACCTATAAATTCTTGAGAATATAGGTCCGACGCACAAAATTTTGGGGTAAACTTGGAGGTATCGCGAGTCCGAATATGGCTACTTTTTAAATAAAGTCATTCCGTGGCAAGGAACAGTAACGAATCATTATAGGAATCTGAAAACTCAATAAGAAACCCCCGCCTCATCATCCATGATTCGAAGACTCTTTTACTACACGCTAGAAAACCCATTTTCATGAATCCAGTTAGTTAGAAGATAAAAAAAGAAGATTTATCCCACATATTTTACAGCCAATAAATCAAACGATTGCTACAGCAAATTATTGCCACCCGATATAAGTATAAGCGCTTATTACAGCACTTGTTAAAAATATCTTAACCAGCCCTCATTTTACTCTGCGCTGGTGCATATAAACTACGCAGCCTTAACGGTCGCCAAACAAAGATTTGAATTCAGTCATGTGACCACTTGATTGGTGATCGCATCCCTTTAGCGCGCCAAAGCGTTTCAAAATACCAAATAAAAGAACACCTACATCATTTTGGGCGGGGAAAAAGATACTAGCGGCAGTTAAATCGGCATACATAGTGCCTTGATTAACCATAAAGGGTAACACGTCCTTAGAAACATTCTGCTTGTAGTTGAGTGAAAAAGCAACAAAAGAGGCCGCGACAAAAGAGGGAAGGGCCTTGAAAGAGGAGGAGCTAAGCGTTACCGAAAGATTCTTCGTGATAATATTCAGGGTGTTTTTAAATTATGCGCCTGTCACTCTTAGTTTTGTTGGCCAAAAAGCCTTGGTGTTCAGCAGAGCGATATATGGAGATTATTACTTACTATGGGATTATTGCGCAGGATGAAATGCATTTGTCTGCTATATGAGAACGCCGCGTTTATATAACATCCTCTCACTTATCAGATACAATCTATATAAATGTATTATGCTAAATTGATTAAAAAAATGCTAAAGAGTGCTTCTAATATATGATCCTATAACATCTGGTGGCCCTGAAAGGAGCCGTATTTTCAAAAACGAGAGTCTTAAGTCTGGGCCTTCTCGGTCTTCTTAGGCAGAAGGACAACCTGGATGTTGGGTAGAACACCACCTTGGACGATGGTCACGCCAGATAGAAGCTTATTCAATTCCTTGTCGTTACGGATGGCCAACCGTAGATGTCGAGGGATAATCCTGGTTTTCTTGTTGTCACGAGCGGCGTTGCCAGCCAATTCCAGGACCTCAGCGGCGAGGTATTCAATGACGGCAGCAAGGTACACGGGGGCCCAGCCCCAACACGTTCGGCATACTGCCCTTGCACAGCAGACGGTGGATACAACCGACGGGAAACTGAAGTCCCGCACGCGTAGACCTGGTCTTTGCCTTCGTTTTCGACTTCCCGCCTTTTCCGTATCCGGACATGGTTTCATTCGATTTAGGTACGACAAACACGAGATGGCTTGAAGTTCTACTAAGTCCTATTTATAGGCGTACGAGCGCGCTATTGGGAGAGCGGAGCTTTTCTCACAAGAGCCTCCCTCTCCACTAAAGTTCCGCTGACGGCGCAGCAAGTCTCCATAAATAGAAGCTGGTCGAGGGATGCCTTTATTTGACAAAAGATGCCGCCCGCACCGTCAGGAAAGGCCGTGAAGAAGGCTGGTAAGGCCCAAAAGAATGTCCGTGCCACGGACAAGAAGAAGAAAAAACGCAGGAGGAAGGAGTCCTTTTCCATTTACATCTATAAAGTTCTCAAACAGGTCCATCCCGATACCGGTATCTCCTCGAAAGCCATGTCCATCATGAACTCATTTGTGAATGACATCTTTGAGAGAATCGCCGCTGAAGCCTCCCGCCTGTCCCATTATAATAAAAGGTCGACTATCACCTCTCGGGAGGTTCAGACTGCCGTCAGGCTCCTGCTTCCTGGTGAACTGGCTAAGCACGCCGTGTCTGAAGGCACTAAGGCTGTCACCAAGTACACTTCCTCCAAGTAAATTGTCGTTTCTTCGGAACGAAAAAACGGTCCTTTTCAGGGCCACCAAGCTCTATGAGATCAACCACCATAGCTGTTATAGACTAGTCGTTATTATCCATTTCTCACTACCGTACTGTGTGTGTATAAATCTATGGTTTGTACACGTCTGAATCTTCAAGTAAGCTTATATTCTACAATATCAAATCCTTTCGCACAGTAGTAACGATTCCAAAAGGACAGAGAAATGCTCAGTCAATTGCTAAAGCCCGTTTATACCGTGTACACATTTGTGATATATCCAATGCGAACTTAGATGTGGGATCGCTGATTTGATCTGGAGATTCTTACCTTTTAGGACGAGCCTCCCAACGGATAATTAACGGCGAGTGCGCCATTTGTTTGGTCTGGTTATTTTTAGTCGACGTAATAATTACCAAGCTGTTGCGAGTTTTGCTCAAGTTACTAGATAAAGGGAAAAGCAGCCAGTTAATTTATAATTATTAGACGCTAAAACGTCCGATATTGCAGAAGTTAGTGAGTCTAAAGAAGGATGCTTTTTTGATCAGTAATTCAATCAAGCAGCCAAATTAATGTTACAAACTTATTTCTAAGATGCTGAACTTCCCATGTGTGAATTAATCATTTTTGCATTTAGGAAAACTGTGTAACCCTTTAAGTAACTTAAGATTAATTCTAAAACATTCTGTTATGTTGTATTTATTATTCATATTTGAACTACAAAGCGTCTGATCTTTTAGGATGTGGTGGCCCTGAAAAGGGCCGTTTTTTACCGAATAATCAGTAATTTAAGCACGCTCTCCGCGGATACGACGGGCAAGCTGGATATCCTTGGGCATGATGGTGACACGCTTGGCGTGGATGGCGCACAGGTTGGTGTCCTCAAATAGGCCGACAAGGTAGGCCTCGGACGCCTCTTGGAGGGCCATGACAGCCGAGCTCTGGAAACGTAGATCAGTCTTAAAGTCCTGAGCGATTTCACGGACAAGACGCTGGAAGGGCAGCTTCCGGATTAAAAGCTCAGTCGACTTCTGGTAACGACGGATCTCACGGAGAGCGACGGTACCGGGCCTATAACGATGAGGCTTCTTCACACCGCCGGTGGCCGGGGCCGATTTGCGGGCAGCTTTAGTGGCCAGCTGTTTACGCGGGGCCTTTCCACCAGTCGACTTACGAGCGGTCTGCTTGGTACGAGCCATAACTTCTTTCCCTTAACAACAGCGTTATGGCGCGGTCAAGCCACTCCATTGCTTATATAGCGACTGAGGCGAGGGTATACTCAGACTTGCAGCGCCCCCTGGGAGGACGCGGCAGCAACCATTGGAAATCAAACAATTTCCCAAACTTCATGTGCTCTGCTGTCAGTATTTCAACTGTGTTAACCAACGAGCTTCTTTTTTTGATCGTTGATATTTTCTTGTTCGTAAAACGTCTTCATATATATGGAACCGATAAGAGTATCTTTTTAACTAACATTAAAAAAAACAAGATCATTAGGACCTATGGTTTGAAACCTGAATAATCTGTCAGTAACCAATAGTATGCCGACTAATAGTATGTCTATTAACGCGTGTAATTAGAATTTGGGCTATGAGATTCCGCAAGACAATGCTACAAGGATTAATTTAGTCGAGCCGGTAACAAGGAGCGTCTTTAGACGGAAAATAATTATTATTGTCTTTATTCAAACCAATGTCAACTTTTACTCAAAAAATTATTAACTTATTAATGTAACTACTTAAATGTTGCTGGTCTGAGGTACCTAAACTAACGCACCCAAAGATAAAAAAAAATCAGGTCAACGGAAAAAAATTCGAAATTGCATCGAATCACATGATCCATTCGATGCTTGCGTCCCTGAGGGCGCCAAAACTTTATACCGATAAGAGAGGAGGACTAACCTTTGTGGCTTCTGATTGGCTAGTCGATATGCAGCATTTTTGGCGATCACAGCGCCAGCACATGCGGTGCTCTTTCCGTCTTTAAATACAACGACAATAAACAAGACAAAAGTATATCTTATAGCTATTTTTAATTACTAATGCTTTGTCGTTCAGTTTGCAGTGTCGTTCGCTGCCCAAAACCTCGAACAAGCGGAACTTATAGTTACATATTATTGTCGGAACTCTGAGGAGTGCGAAGACAATTTTTTATTCAGACAACTATGTCTAGAAAAATAACTTGAATTTAGTCAGTAAGTTTTACGAGGATTTCTTTGTTTTTTCAGTTTCCCAACGCATAACGAGGTAAAAACATGAATCGATATCTATAACGTTTGCATTGAGTTTTTCTATTCTAAATTCGTCGATTCATCTGACTGTATCTTAAAATCCCTTCAGAAACTCGATTTCGTAAGTATAGCCCATTTTATCAACAACTTCATACATGATAATCACTTGTATATAAATTTGACGCTACATCATGCATACTTCACGACGTTCATTAAATTTGACGTGACACATTACTACGTTAATCTAATGTTATACTGCCACCTTTACCTCTTGTATAAATTACACAAGTTCTCGATATATCTCTTAAGCCGATGTTGTTACATTGAGTCTTATGGGAATTTACTGTTGAGACCCGATGTACTCATGAACAAAGGAAAAAAAGACGATACATAATCAAATATTGGAGCAGAGTGGTATTTTGTAATTAATGAAGGTATTGTAGTAATCCGGCACGCATGCATAACAAAGAAACTAATTAATCGCTCCTGGTCTGACCTAGAGTGAACTTTAATGAAATGACTGGCATTTGACACAAGGGGTATTATTATATAATGTCATATACAAAACCCTGTTTTCATTGGTGTTAAAAAAAATTAAAATAATGCTTTAACAGTCCAAGCTATATAATGTGATGCGATAAAATGTTTCTGATTTTGTAAGATTTGGTGGCCCTGAAAAGGGCCGTTTTTTTACGGACAGTGAGTCCTTGATCATCAGTCCAGTTCAACCACCAAAGCCGTAGAGGGTGCGTCCTTGCCTTTTGAGGGCATAGACAACATCCATAGCGGTTACGGTCTTTCTTTTGGCATGTTCGGTATAAGTGACAGCGTCACGGATGACGTTCTCCAGGAAGACCTTGAGGACACCACGGGTTTCCTCGTAGATCAAACCGGAAATACGCTTGACACCTCCACGACGAGCCAAACGACGGATGGCTGGCTTGGTAATACCCTGGATGTTATCACGAAGAACTTTTCGGTGACGCTTAGCGCCTCCCTTTCCGAGGCCTTTTCCTCCCTTGCCGCGTCCAGACATGGTAATCCGCTTTCGCTGAAGTCTCAAC